AATAATATTGCGCCGGGAGATCACCGTAAGCAGTTGAGTTTGTGCGGCTTAGCGCTGGCCGGTGGTTTCCCGCCTGCGTAACGCAAGCCGGCCGTTAATATGAACATGTGATGTTGGATTGATATTCACTAGTTATAATTATGAAAATGGCAGGTTCAATTAGCTGTGATTTATGTGCTATTGAATCTGAAATGGGATATGCTCCCGGAAATAGCAATAATATTGCGCCGGGAGATAACCGTAAGCAGTTGTTTATGCGGCTTAACGCTGGTCGGTGGTTTCCCGCCTGCATAATGCAAGCCGGCCGTTAGTATGAACATGTGATATTGATATTTGCGGTTGAGTTTGTGCTGACCCGCCTGCGTAATGCAGGCCGGTTGTCATGTGATACCAATTGTCTGGAGCGTAGCGGAGGACATTTAGTGTTTAGTCATGGTGATATAAAAGTTATCTTGATACATCAATAGTTACATTTGTGATTCACTTCTAAGTTATTTATCAAAATCGTAACTTTGAAAATTCTTGTCTGTCCGCACGCGTGTTCAAATTTGTAATTTAGTCTACAAAAAATATGCATGCTTACGCGTTTGTGTTATATGATAATCGTCATGTGCTCCGGACACACAATGCTACGCATTAGCCTAGTATTGCTTATTGATCCGGAGCATAGAGAAGGATCCTCAATTTCTATGCATTAAGTGATACAAAAATTACGTTTTTGATGCACTTCACCTCAAAAAGTTGCTTATTTGATGCATTAACATAAACATTATGAAGATCATATCAAAAACGTAATTTTGAATTTTTTGTCCGCACGCGTGTTCAAATTTGTTAATTTAGTGCAACAAAATATGCATATTCACGCGTTTGTGTAATGAGGAGATCATCATGTGATATGCTCCGGATCTAACAATGCTACGCATTTTCCTACTATAGCAGTTGAATTTGTTGAGTTTGTGCGGCTTAGCGCATAATGAAGGCTGGCCGTCAGTATGAACACGTGATATTGATATTAGAATGGCCAGATTCTTTTGGGAGGGAGGGTTGAGTCGCAAATTGTGGTCTGTAGCAGTTGAGTGAGCAATCGTTGGCATAAAGCCCGATTGCGTTTCCCGGATTTATCTTTGTTCTCATTGCCGCCTTTATCAAGTTAGTGATTACTGTTTATGGAAAGTCATTCAAAACATACTCACCTCCTATGACTTTACATCAACTCGAAGAAAAATTTTCAACATTATACTTAGTGTTGTGCAATGTGCATGACATGCGCATGATCATGCGCATAATCATGCGCATGATGCGCATGAAATTATGGAATCCTGCGCATGATTTTTTATATATTACATATATGCTGGCAAAGCGATATAATGCTGGTATAAACTTATAATGCCAGCAAAATTTTTATAGATCCCGAAACATTCCGAAAGCTAATAAGAAATTCCGAAAAATTCCCATGCGCATGAAACTTGAAAAAATCAAAATTTGCACAACATTAATTATACTTGACCGCTAGCTATCACTCTGCATAAAATCCTGTAAATCCTTGTTTTAATTTTTGCTCATTTTCTATACCAAACTGCATAATGCAAAGCTCTTATTATAGTGAACTCTCGATATAGTGAAGAATTTTAAATTAAACTTCAACTCAATGTTATTAATTATTCTCTTGATATAAGCTATATCAAGAGTTCACTCTAACAAGAGTCAGTTGTATTATGGTAGTTTAGTATAGAAAATATGACAAGAAAACAATACTTCTATCTTAATATATCAATGCGCAAGAGTAAAAATTGAGATTTACAGGATATCAAAAATGTAACTTCATAAAATTGGCAATTACAAAAATAATTTAATTTTATAGAATCGTTTTCCACAATTGTGAAAATAATTTCCGGTATCACTATTTAGACCTACTCCGATAAAAAATAGATATTTAAGGAAAATATTTGTTAAATCCAGTAATAAATATTAATCTGTCAAATTTAAACCTTGCAAATGACTATTTGTCGAATCTGATGATTATTATCCGATTACACGATTATACACAATATTTTTAGTGAGCAAGTTACTTTATTTATTAATTGGTGAAAAGTTACAAACCTCCTTTTAATCGAAACTATAAAATAAATATTTCTTTTCTACTTTATGCATATCGATATTGCTTTACAAAATTTATTCTAGCTGTCACATGTTATCAGCTGATACTTGAAAAAAATTTATAAAAAATTGATTACATATTTTTAAATCTTAGAATAGAGTATAGCCCTAAACAAAATCGTAAACTGAATACAATAGTATTAAAATAATTATTAGGAAAATGCCACTCCGTAGAAAGTTTCAATGTTATAGATTCTGATTTGAATATTTGAACATTTGAATTGGAAAAAAAAACTTTTTTTGTTCATCATATTTAACACCTCATTGGAGCCCACAGAAAAAAATTTTTGCCTAATGCCTGAATTTAAAGTTCTCTTGCTCACCAGAAAATAAATTTTGCCTAACGTCTTTCTCCTCTCGTTTCCGGAAATTATATTTTAAAAAAAAACTAGCTTTGCAATTCATTTCAAAAAATTATAATAAATTGGCTGCAAAAAAAGCAAGAATTATAGTAATAAAGGTTAAAAGTTGTTGGTAAATTATGAAAATTATTAACGAACAAGAATGTACTGTGCTTACGTACTGTACATGTAGAAAACAGACTGTTGAAAACAGACTGTTGAATTTAAATACGGGTGCATTCTTTGCATAGAGGTGGAGTGCCAGTGCACTCAGAACATGCAAATTTACAGGAACCACAGCGGACCGAACATTTTGAAACACAAATACCAGAAATAAAATTAAGCGAACTGCAAAAAGGATCATCGGTACAGTTGGAAGCAACAAATAGACAGGTACCACACCGACCAATGCAGACAGAACCACATTCAGGATACTGTTTAATAATAGGAGAAGCTAAAATCATAGAGCAAATGATTAAGAATATCCCAAAAGTTGAAAATTTAAAGTCCATATTAGCTGTGTAGAAAGACAAATGTTTCAAAACTAATGTTAATAATTACAATAATTTAAGTGACAATTTGTGAGTCATCTGGACAAACATCCTTGTGTAATTACGTACTGTATAAATTATATATAATTACTATTTTAGTTGATATTGCTAATGTATAACATATGTTTTTACGTAGTTTGCTATTTGTACGTACATGGGTAGGGAGATCACGGATGGTAGTTTGAAACCATAGAATGTATGTCATCTTAGAGAATACAATTCGTCTTTAATTTATAAACATTTCCTTGTATTAATCACTTTAATTAAAATAAAACCATCTTTAATATTCGAATTCAATATGATATTCATCGCACATAACAAAGCTAACCTGCATATGATGTGCGTCATTCTTCCAATAGTTTAAATCTTTTTCCAGTATAGTCATCAGAATAATGTACTCAATGATGACTTCATTATGATTTAGGTTTTATAAAGTTCAACAGTAATGTTTAATGAGATAAAATTGAATAGGATATTAAATTGTAAAAATCATTTATTTTGATTCTGTTTTTGCAACCTTCGTTATCAAGAAGGTGGTTGCTGAGACATCGTCATCTGTTATGAAGAAAACTCTCAATTTTAAAATGTGTCTTTTTTAATTTTTTATTAAATATCTAGACTATAAATTATATCTGGTTTTGAGTATAAAAATGATGTATGTATTAAAAAGTTTATTTCTTTACTTGTTATTAAAGTAGATTTTTCAATCGATGGAAAAATGATACTGTTGACATATGTCTCGTGTCTCGTTTAATAAAAAACAGTGAATTTATAAAGCGAAATATATATATATATATATAAGTAAATAAAAAAAAACCATAAGATGAAGAAAAAATAGATTATTATATTTAATAACGTAGTTAGGAATTTTTGTATTCACCTTGTAAAACACTTCTAAATTTTTTAAATAAATAACCGAATTTTTTTTGCAAGAGCACAACTAGGGATGGAAAAAAAACGGTTTAAACAGTTTTTTAGATGTTTTAAAACTTTTTAAAAAACTTTTTAAAACAATTGGCGCTGAGACTAAAAATTAAA